GATCTGGCGATATGTCCTCCTGAAGACTCGAAAGTGAGCAGCGTAACGTTAATCCAACCGAACTGTGTCAATGCAGAGATCGCGAGAAGCGAATGTCAACTGAGGAATAGCAGCGCACCCAGCTGTGATATGCCCGTAGGTAAGGGGGTGTGGCCTCACCTGGCATTGGCTGCGCGCTTCTGTCTGTTAGCCAGACTTGGTGCAATTGGATGCTTCTGCAGAGGTCAGGTACGGATGCCCTTCCCATAGGTGGATCTCGAAACGAGATGATGAAAGAGAACCCCATAGTGGTGGCTGTGGCTGTGTACTGACCGACCAGAAAGAGTGGGCAGTGGTGGAAATGGTGAGGGCCAGGAATGATATACGGCTGTCAGAAATAAAGCAGGCAATTGAGGAGAACAATGACACCTTTGCCAATGTGGCATCCATCAGCCTGCCAACAGTAGGCCGCCTTTTAAAGAGGCACCAGGTATCAATGAAACAAATTTACCTGGTGCCTTTTGAGAGAAACAATGACCGGGTGAAACAACTAAGGGCTGAGTATGTTCAGGTACAGCACCATATATTGTATTACTGTTACTATTTGATGCATCACTTACATCATATGTATAATGGAACAACACTGTAAAAAGAACTAACCAAAAAAATATATCTTTTAGAGAGTTATGGTGCTTGGCGCTGATGTGAACCATCACAAGTACATTTTTGTTGATGAAGCTGGCTTTAACCTGGCCAAAACTCGTCGCCGTGGATGGAACATCATCGGCCAATGGGCCACTGTCCAAGTGCCTGGACAACGTGGAGGAAACATCTCTATGTGCGCAGCTATCTCTGAAGATGGTGTCGTAGGACGTAGGCCATTACTTGGGTCCTATAATGCTGCACATCTTATTGAGTTTCTCAATGAAATTGAGCCGGCCTGTCAAGGTGAAGGGGTCACCTAAGGGGACAATTGTGTGGGACAATGTCAGGTTCCACCACGCAGAGGTAGTTCAAGCATGGTTTCAGGCCCATCCCCGATTCATGACCCTCTACCTGCCTCCATACTCTCCTTTCCTCAACCCTATTGAGGAATTGTTTCCAGCATGGAGGAGGAAGGTCTATGATCGCCAACCCCTTGAGCGTGCCACCCTCCTTCGGGCCATGAATGATGCATGTGATGACATCAGTGTAGACCAATGTCAAGCATGGATCCGTCACGCCAAATGTTTTTTTTCCAAGGTGCATGAACAATGATAAGATAACATTCATTGTGATGTGGACGAGAATCTATGGCCAAATGCTCAAGACAGGCTTGATCCAAATTAATGTAATGTGTGCACTAAATGTTATGTTTTGTTCTCATTTAGTTATATTTCATTATAGAAAGTATTAAAATGATATCTGAAAAATAAAAACTAATTTCCACAAATGATTATAGAGGATGTCTTCATTGATCCTTCACTTGATTACACATGGATATTTTAGGAAATGATATATTATGTAAATGTTGGGTAATGTAATTTTTGGGTAATGTAAGTGTATTGCCTAATGTGAAACCTGTGTAATCTGTCTTTTATAGTACTGTAGCATATTCATTTCAGCACTTCTAAGGCCGATTTGAAACGTATTTGCATTGTTTGCTGTTGGATGAACTGATTGTTAAAAGTACTAAACTGAAAGAAGATCATACTGTTGTGTTTCGGTGATTAAACCAAATGTTCTCATTTCATATTACAATAAGCTTGTGTTTGAAACTGATTATGTGGACTGAAAACATGTGCAACTGACTGAAAGCTTTACATCAGGTTTTGAAAGAATGACTGCGTTACAAGTGTGATCAGTTTGGATTTTTGTACTAAGAGTATTGAAAATGTACACCTTACTTGTGAAAATAGAACCAAAGCGAATAAAAAAAACTGTAAACATAATCTTATAATTAAAACATTTCTCTAAAGTAAGTTTATGAAAGGTATGTTATAATTGAAGTCAACATAACTTCATTTGTTGTTATGCTGTAAATGTTATAAACAGTTTCTTTTTTGTCACTGATCAAAATCAGACAGTAGACAGACAGACAGACAGACAGACAGACAGACAGATAGATAGATAGATAGATAGATAGATAGATAGATAGATAGATAGATAGATAGATAGATAGATAGATAGATAGATAGATAGATAGATAGATAGATAGATAGATAGATAGATAGATAGATAGATAGATAGATAGATAGATAGATTTAATAATGTATTACCAAGCATCGCATGCAGCTCAGGGGAGTGTTTCTGCTCTGTCGCTGGTTGGCTAACACTGTCTGTCTTGGAAGAGGAACTCATGACTGACTGTTTCCAGTTAAGAAAATAAATAAATTATAAAACCCGCTCGGTGTTGAGGAGAAGATGCTTTTTTTCAAAGCATCTCAGTGAGGCAATGAAGGGAGAAGAAGTTCAAAATCGCGTCTGAGAAACTTTGAAGGAATAACGAGCCACCAATCAATCACAGTAAGTGCGCGCAGTGTTTTCCTTATTTCTATAAAACATCTCTCTTTAAACAGTGGACTTAAACATTTCCCATTATTTTTATGATCTGCTGGAAGAAATTCTGTCGATTTATTAGTGTAGGCTACTTCATAACATCATCTCATGTCGCCTGTTTAGATGTGAAATCGATTTTTTTTTTTTTTACATTTCTGGTTTAATAACCTTTGACAAGCATATCCACCTTTCTAATGCAAAATAAAATGCTAAATTAAGTGATTAACATTTAATTCTGTTTTTAATTAGCAAATCTACAAGCTATATCTCTCGTCCTGTAATTTATGATAGGCTTTAAAGATAGGCTAATTGGATATTTATTTGCTTGTGTTTTTTTTAGCAAGAAACTCACCCAAAAAAATATGCATAGCCTATACAACTTTTTTTCTGTAATGTAAATATAATCTAGCCTACTGTTTACATTTAATATAGCTAATCTCGCAACAGTATCATTATAAGAGATGCGGCAATATTAATGCGGTTAGAACGATGGTGTAAGTTGCCACAAGGTGACGTTGTCTCAAGGGCTGCATCGCAGTAAATATAAAGTTTATAAAGTCATTCATTTCAAATAGGCCAACACAAATATGCGTTTCTCTATTTTTCACTTAAATAAATAAAAGTACTGTCATCTAAACTACAATTTCATCATATTTTAATAGTGCTTGGGTATTTTGGGTAAACTACTGTATATCATGGAAGTAGATTCTATGTTCTCAGTCAGAACAAGGATATTTTTCATAAATGGCAGGTTGGGGCAAGTTGTCACATATGTTTTGAATGTTTTAAAGCCTGTAACTTGTGTTTTAATAAATAAATGTTGGACTACTTAAAAAATAAAACCAACCTGCAAAATATTTACCGGAGTAAAAAGTGAGACAATTAGCTCCGGACTCCCTTAATATTATGATTATTACAGTTTTTCTCAGTCGCTTTGGTGCATTTCTCACATCACTATTTAGATTTGCACAACAGTTAATGGAGTTCTCAAAACAATTAGTACAAACTGCAAAAGTTAATAACCTGCAAAAGTGTGTCACTTGCTCAAAATGAATAGCTCATTCCTCAAAAGCAAGTATTCATGTCAATGAAAGTGTCAGTGTCATCAAGATAAAAAGTCCTGACACCATTGTCAATTATGTTTTAATTATGACAGTTAACTCTGTAAATGTTTTCCAATGTAAAAAAAAAAAATCAGATCTTGGTGACACTACCCGAAAATGCTCAAGACAGCACTATATACTATTTGCACAGCCATTTGAAAACTACAGTAAAGTTACACATTACTGTATTTAGTGAGGTAACTGAGTACAAGACACTGAATATGTATGTTTCACATTTTTACTGTATATGCTCTTTGCAATTCTAATTTGTTCACAGCATTGTGCAAAAGAAAAAATACACCCTTATTTACAACAAACATAAACTCCCTTTGGGTAGAGCTGTGCACAACTGTAAACAATATTGCAGTACATATTGGAACTGAACATACAACGTACTGTAAATCATTCATGCGCATCCCTTCTCATCAGTGAAAGCTGAGGTTCACCTGAGAGAAACTGTTCAATTTAGGATAGAAAAAAAAAATAATTAAAAAAGAAAAAAAAATTGTCACATTTGCTTGACAGATTTTGACAATTAGTTCAACATTTTTGTATGTGATTACTCAAGCAATGAATTGAGGACTATTCGTTTTATATGGAATGACTATTCAGCATTCACAAGTATATCATTTTGACTGACATGACTTAAGCAAATGATAATGTTATAAAACAGCAGAGAGTTGTATGAAAGCAATTGATGCATGTCCAAAAGCATTTGCAATTTGTTGGAAGGAATGAGAAACTGCTACTATGATGTGCACAAATGACTAAATGTTGTGGAGGTTGAACCAACTGTTGTGCAAATGTAAATAGTGATGTGAGAAATGCACCAAAGCGACTGAGAAAAACTGTAATGTTAAGTATTCAAATCATCTAAACAGAGCCATGTTTCTTCATTTGTCAGCATATTGCAAGTCGAAGATTGATTGAATACAATCCATTATGGAGAACGCATTACTATTACAGAAACCGGGACTGTGAAGATGACAAAGGATCATGCAAAAAATTAGCCATAATACAATCTGATATCAGGCATTGACAAGAAGGAGTTGGAACTACTAAAAGATATTCTGACATACTGAGTCAACAGTGGGGTATCATTATAATGCTGGTATCAAACAACTTTTGACTGAAGAGGTTTTTGTCAAGCAGAGCAGCAGCCTGTTAATGAACACAACAGATTGTCCCAAAAGGAGATAAAGGCATGAAAGCCTTCATGAACATCAAGGAACAACCATGACACATGCCTGTAAGCCATCATTTTCAAAAAGAAACAAATCAATATAACACACCTCCATTTATTAATGTAGACTAAACAGGCTCTGTGGAGAATTCGCAAAGATCAGACTCCAGAGATCAGAAGAACTGTTGCTATATAAAGGAAGTATCAATACCGGAATTCTTCAAACAAATTACACCCTTGAAAACCATCAATATGAACCTGACCGCCCATCTTCTGGACCTCATGCTGAAGGCTTCCAACCTCTCTCGCTGGCAGTTCATCCAGGAATACTCCATTCCTCCGTTGGTTGCTGTGCCCAGACTCCCTAGTGCCCTGCTTCCGGTTTTTGGCCTGCTCTACATGCTCATCTTTGGGTTTGCGGTGGTGGGTAACGGGGCGGTGCTGGTTCTCTTATGTCGCAAGAAGGCTCTGCAATCTCCCAGCACCTTTTTCATTTGCTCTCTGGCACTCAGTGACCTTCTGATATCCATAGTGTGCGTTCCTGCCACACTGTTGCAGCACTTCTTCACCAACTGGTTGGCAGGTAGAATTATTTTTTGTTCACGCTTGGCAGAAATCTTAGCTTCCGTTGTGTTTATGATGTTTCATAACTGTGCATATCCATGTGGCCACCTCATTTTTCCTTCATTATGTTTTTTTCAGCCTCAGTTTTTCAAAGCGAAAGCTTTAAAAATGTAAGTATATATTGCTGAAATAGAGAGTACATATATACTCTTAGTTCACAGTATGAGTAAAGACACTGATAATAGGGTCTCAGGGTAATAGGGTAATTGGGTCATTTGTGGCAATTAATACATAAACTCAAAGTACGGTGAGTAAAGTGTAAAGGTTTTATATGCTTTCTAGACATTCTTTACTTGTTCATTCATAAACCTACACAATTCGGTTTGTGCTACACTTCAATAGACCTTATTCGCAAACACCGGAAGTAGCTAACCGCGGCCATATTGTTGACATGACATCTGTCCTGCTGCACCTAGCCGCGCGCAGATTTGAGTTGAGGGGAGCAGTAGCCTGGCTTCATCTCGTCGGTATCAAGTGAAGATAAGCTTGATTGGTGTGGACCCACATGAAATAGACCCAATAGCATTAAGTAAAGATCCGTCCTTATTGCCAGCCGTAACTTATCTGGATATTTATAACTAACTTATCTCGTTCATACAGTATCCGTATACAAACTACAATTTACCTCAACAAGGCAACATAATGAATAGGGGTGGAACGGTACATGTATTCGTATTGAACCGAAACGGTACGGGCGTCACGGTTCGGTGCACGAATTTACACGGAGAATACACGGTATAAAAATAAATAAAACTCGCGTGCAAATTAATTAATGTAATGCGGAACTACTGTTAGATACGCGGGTTCTTTAGGGACACATAATCTGTACCATCGGCTTAGCTCTGAACGCGCGTTCACTTCAAACGTTGGCTTTATACGCGCGTCCTATTCGCTTTGGACTAGCGTCGAACTAGACGCGAATTTGACGCTCTATTCGCGTTTGGTGTGACCGCATAATGAACAGGCTGCGATGTCAAGATTGCAATGCTGGAGTGTGTGTGCGTAGAGGCACGGCCGCGATCGAACTGTGTGTGTGTGTGTGTGAGTGAGTGTGAGAGAGAGAGAGAGAGAGAGAGAGAGAGAGAGAGAGAGAGAGAGAGAGAGAGAGAGAGAGAGAGAGAGAGAGAGAGAGAGAGAGAGAGAGAGAGAGAGAGGCGCGGGCGCGATATAGGCGCGAGATCGAACAGTGGAAACATAAAAAAACATACTCCGTCATTTTGTTCATACAGATCATTAAACCTGCAAAGTGTTTACTTATATTTGTGTACACTCGCAATAAAACACAACATTGTGCTTTTGTCACACTGTAAACTCTTGTCAAACTGTAACCTACAACTGTCACCCAACCAAAATCACACACACACACACACACACACACACACACTGTTTTAAAAGTAAAACATATTTATCCAACTCCATTTCAAAACAGTGTGTGAGTCCCATCATCTTTTGGACATTCATCATATTGCATTGGTTTTCATTTCTTGTCCTCGGAGCACTAATCTTACACATTCTACATTGATTAAAAAAGAAAATCGAATGTGTTTTTAATGGTAGTATTATTTTATACATAAATCAATTATTTATAATTCAGATGAGAATAATGTTACATTGTTAATTAATAATGTTAATTAAAATTAAGGAAAACAAATATATTGATCTGAAATATAGCAAATTAATTTTAAATTAATTCAGGTACAATTACCAAACATATCGCAAGGTCTTTTTGTTTTTTTATTAATTTAATTAATAAACTAATTATATAAGACTATTGTCAGTGCACTACAAATAAACTGGTTCTATGCCTTTATTAATAAAACTTATTTAAAAAATACGATGCCTTCTGCATTTTTGTTTTGCTTTTCCCTCCATTGTACCGAAATCGTACCGAACCGTGATGTCTGAACCGAGGTATGAACCGAACCGTGTCATTTCTGTTTACCGTTCCACCCCTAATAATGAACGACACTCGTCTCATCCGTGGAGGTGGAAAAACAAGTTCTTTGTGACATGCAAGATTTGTTGTATTAAATTTAAATGCAAAAGAAAAGGCATGAGAGTCGGTTGTTTTTGTCAATTTGAAGTTTTAATTTAAAATGTTTGCGATTTTAATATAAGTAGCCTAAGTTACATGGTTAGATATTTGACCACTTGCTTGAGCAACTTAATATATAGAAGTAATGCATGGAATAATTGGCTTACGTTGTTAAAATAGTGAGTATGTGTTAAAATAAAAATAATGAGTACCGGGGTGTTTGTGGTACAGCCGCGGATCAGTTATGCGCTGCAAACGCACCATATAAAGCACTATAGCGCGTCCTGCTTCTGTACCGTATACGCACCGCACAAGCATTGCACACGGATTATGTGTGAAACCTGTGGTAAAATGATGGGAACAGACTTTTCTGTGGGGAGTTGGCTGAAAGTTTAGCCTATTTATCCTAACTAGCCTCTCCTGCGCTGGCTCAACTCTGTCTCCTTCCCTTCACGTTTTCTGACAGTCGATAACTTTTCGCATAAAAACTAACTCCGGGGTTCTTATTGCTGTTGTTAGAACAGCCGTGTATTACACAACACACCATCACGCTGTTTAAAAAAAATACAGTGATAATACCATGGATAATACCGACGCTGCCTCGCTTGTCAATTGACAGACTGACAGTTGCTGTGGTTTCTATGTCAACAATATGGCCGCCGCAAACATTGATGACGCAAATCGAATAACATCTATACATGGGCACTGAATAAAAGATGCGCTTGAATCATGAATTCATGCCAGTGAATAATTACCCTTGAAACACAAAAATAAGCTTAGAAGCACTAAGGTTTTTAAAAGAGACATAAACTGTTTAAAAATGTTTAGGCATCTAGCCTGGTTAAAACCAGACCATTCTCAGTTGTAACTGAGTTATCGTCTGGCAAAGCGTCATAGACAAATCATTTCCAGAGGGGCATCACCAACGGACGTCGCGGATAGACCTAAAACCAATCAGAGCGATGAAGGAGATGACGTATGCAGAGCGGCAGAAAAACATCTCCGAGTGTTGTTCTTTGCTCGGTTTTTAACTAAAAGGAAACGTTCAAATCGCTTAAAACAGACGCGATAGCTGATTCGAACGAGTGATGTTCAACGGCGGCATCCATCTTTGTAATGTAGGCTACAAAATCTGCTTCAAAATCCCAGCGCTGTCGTCATCGTGTAAAGCCCCTACGTTTCTGATTGGTGCCGCGATTTCGACGGATTGGAAATGGGCTTGAATGAGCTCTTTAGCCCCGTTCACACTACACGCGACGCGATACCATTCATTTCAATGGTGAGCGGGCGACTTCCGGCGACACGCGCGACAGCGACCGTTGGCGACTAGATGGGGCGTGTCTGACGACGCGACAAAGTTGAGATCTGTTTAACTTTATGCAAATGCAGAGCGACTTTCGGGAGCGACAACCAATAGGAGTGAAGTCAGTGGAGCGCGTCACTCTTCAGTGCTGAGTCTGACCGAGGCAAGTTGAACGAGAAGGTCGTTTTAGCAGTCAGAAACTGTCCTATTATTTATGATATATCTCCGTGTACATACAGTGGTATTCACCGTACTGACTCCATGCCTGAATGGTTTCGGGAACCCAGATAGACCGGTATTTGCCCATTTTCTGCAGTTAAATAGCCGCGATGGCAAAGAGCACTCACTGTTTCTCATTCATCTTTAATATTATGCATTTTATGTACTGATTCCATTTATATTTAGACTTTTCCTTCTGAAATATTTGTTTGTAGCGGCAAGAAAACGTATTTGTTGTCTAACATAGACTAACATCCGTGAATGTCACTCACAAACATTACTAGGTAACCAGTAGTGGGACCGCCCACTAGCAGCGACCTCATCGCCAGCGACTGGCGACTTGCAGCGACAAAGTCGCGTGTAGTGTCAACGGGGCTTTAGCCAGACTAACTTTCAGAGCAAATCTAAATTTGCCGGAAGTTGTCTGCGTTTTCCCCGGCTACTAGGCATCTCAAGGTATCGTCAGAGAATGTCTAATAGTTTGTTTTCATATGACGTCACGCCACTGCTTTGCCATGGCGCGAAATGCAAATGGAGGGCAGGAAGTGATTTGCTGTATTTAGAAAGCACTATAACAAACTCAAAATGCCTATGTTTTGCGTCATTTATGGTTACTTAAATCGATCAAACCACGAGGAGTTTTTATCGTGTATCAAAAGTTGTTGTTCATAAGGGGGGGGGGGGGGGGGGGGGGGGGATGCAAGAAATTGACCGAAAAACTCCGGAAAAAACGGCTTGCAAACCTACGTCTGCGGTCGGGAGGAGCCGAATGGGAAAAATGCCCGTGTGTGCCGTGATCACTTCGTCAAACGTGAGTTAATACAACTTAAGTGGATATGTTTGTGTAACGTTTCCGAACTTTGTAAAGTCAAAGTATGTCTGTAAGACGAGGTAGTTGCTGATATCTACCGCCTCGACGGCAGGAAAATCTTTCAATTCAGTTGAAAAATCGCTCCTCTTTACAAAGTAAGGATCACGTCCAACATATGTTTTATTTTTTGTTTATATCTTTATCTTGTAATAACGTGTAAAGTAGTACAGTACTGACTTTCGTCCATTGCGCTCTTCACTCCCTGCCCTCCATCTGAATTTCGTGCGTCATCATAATCACGTGACTGAATCCCAGCTATTGAAGAGAATTGGCACTGTCTGGTTACTTCCGGTTTCTGGACAGGCTGCAGTAACACGTGTCTTTCCATGCGGGGGCGCTCGCAGGCGAGTGCAGAATGAATGGGAGTCTATGGGGTTTCACCCCCAGAAATCCACTTTTCTCAGGATGTAATTTTTTGTCAAGTAATTTGAAAGTTGCATTCAAAAGGGAGGGCTAAGATAATACACTCAGCTGAAAATTGCATTTTTAAGATCACTTATCTGTTCTAAAAATCCATTCAAAAATGTGATG